GTGAACACTGGTCTATGTTGAGGAAATCAGGGACTAACAGACGAGGTAGGGAGGTTTAAGATTTCACACCTGATTTGCATTTTTACCTGATAATTTTGTTTTTCTTGGAATGAAGATGAAGATTTTTATGGAAGTGTTTATGTAGTGTAATTCTTTTATATTTTCTGTTTGTGTTACTGTGGTTGGGGTGATCTTGTGTCTTTGGGTTTGACCTATATATAGTGGATGGAGAGGTAAGGTGTGTGATACGACTTATTGACCAGATTATTAACATCAAACACTAAGACTGTGGTAAACAGGGTGTATGTTTGATTTATGATGAAATCCTCTTTATACAGAGAAAGTCAATAATCACATCTAGACAATATAACTCAAAGGTCACCAGTAAAGTGGAAATATATCAGTTATCTCCCTTGTTGAAATTACTGGAGTCACCCCCCTTGTTTGACCTCAGGCAAGTAATGGAATAGTCATGTAGGAACAGTTCAATAGGTCAATATATACCATATAAACAGATGAATAATATTATTTTTTACAGTAAGGTGAATTTTAGAAACCTCTGACCATTTGTTGTGCATAAAATTATCCATATGTGCATGTAGTCAGATAAAAATAACTCGGCTTAGGAATAACTAAGAGGTGATTCACGTAGACATGCTGTGCAACAAAACAGGATTGTGTTTTACCAAGTCACTGGTCTATATGTCATGAATATTCATAAGTGTTGTAGGACACTTAGTGCACTGCTAGCTTACACTGCCTTATTATAGGTTAAATAAAATGACATAAGGTGTGTCTTGTTTTAATTGCCTATTCCCTGCCTTGACCACAATACAAGGCACAGTTTCCACGTTGTTTTTCATTTGATATTAAAAAAAAAGATTGTCACAAGGTAGAAAAAAAATTACACAAAGTGCTGCTGGAGAATTTGCCTCAAAGACTTTTTTTTTCAAAATTGATATGAAATTTAGAGTAAGAAAGGTCTTCATATACATTAAAGACTTATTCCAGTGTCTTAATTTCTGTTCTTTATCTCAACCCAATATGGCTCATAATCTGGTACAGTATTTACTGTATACTTGAATGCATAACATCATGGATGATTGATGAAAGGAAATATTCTAAAAACTGCTGTAATTCTTAATAACATATTTGACTTTAGATGTAGTATGTATTTGTGTTAGATTTTCCACTCAAGGGTACTACGTGTAATGTTAATTATTTTCCCAGGTTCTTTTGTTAAATATATTTTTTTTTAATGAAGACACCCAGAAAAAGCATTTATGATTAGTTATCTCAGCATTGTGAAAATATATTCTCTTTCTGTCTCAGATTGCACATACCATTTCATTCATTAAATATGCAGCTATACCCTGAAGGGCACATAAAAAAGATTCAGAATTTTTTATGTGAAACTTGAATCCTTGTTTATTTGAAAGAAAAAGATGAAGTGTACATGCATAAAATGCAGACCTTGCTGCCTAGGATATTTGACACCTGTTTCACAGAGAGGATATTTTTGATAAGTTTTCTCCCTTGACAGTGTCTGCACTATCCATCTCATATGTATATGATTACATGTGATTGCCTTGCTAAACAGGACAGTGAGGAATGCCTAATTACACTAGTGACTAATGATCTGATTGAGTTGGAGATCAGATACACAGCTATTATAGAAGGACATATTAAGGAGCTACTGGTTTTGTGACAGAAAAATAATTTGCCTCAGGAACAGGTTCACTGTAGCTGGAGATATAGTGTTTTTAGGATCTCCTTCCTGTTGTACAATCCTGGGATCAAGTGTTCTGGTGTCTGTTGGACTACTTGAAAGTGTGAAGTAGGGGAAATTTATCCTGAAGACTTGTGCAGGACTCCCTCAGTGAGAAACTCTTCAGTTTAGTGTGTAACATTTAATCTGTGATGTGTGTCGGAAGTTTTATCTTGTTTACTAACACTAGATCATAATCATGGAGGACAAAATGAAAGAAAATGGCTACCAAGAGGGGTACAACTCCCTCCCCCTTAAGAGGAAGAACTGTAAAAAATATAGGAGGGCCTCCGATGTGACTGTTGGTAAACGCCAGCTTGGGGAGGGGCGATTCACTGCCTCGATGTATGATGTTAGTGACCACATGACCGGACAGGAAGATTGTAGGTTTTTCCTTATCAAGCTAAAGATACTTTCAGTTAAATCTGGAGTTTAAATTTCATAGCTATGCTTGGAATGTGGATTATAGTGTGTTGTTTGTGTCCTCTTCTTCTTATATGTTTAAAAAACCAAACGTAGAGCTTTTCTGTTCATTAATGAACATATTTTATTTATGTGTAGTATTTAGCATGCAGCTTGTATATCAAAGGTCTAAGAAAACCTGCCCAGATAGGCATGTTTGTTTATCAGGCCTGAACACTTAAGTACACACATACTTATCATAGATTTATCATTGGGTTTTCCATGTAGTGTTTGAATCATCTGTTTCTTCAAAAGTGAAAGTCACAGGTCTCTCTGATGAGACCTTAAAAACCGTAGGCACGATAAAGAACCCTCATTGCTCAGTATCCCTGAGTGCTGAGTTTAGTTCTAAATTTGAAGCCCTTCACCAGCATATAGTTACATCTCTCTATATGAGTGAAAATTGAATGGGACGTAAAACAACATACAATCAATCAAGCTTTTTTTTAGAATAATATACATTTGAAGTCTACATACCACTAATATAGAAGTTTTAAATGAGGACTCTATTGATTCTTTCAGCTGCATTAGACATCGATCAGTGATTATAACAGTATATATAATGGTGGATCTTGTGTGAGAGTTTGTAATCAATAAGACAACAGGTGCTCCTTGACCAGAATTGACACTTCTCTAGACCGTCTTATAACTTGATTCTCTGTCACTACCTTGTCATGAGATTCCCATACTGTGTTCAGAACTAAAGCTATAATAGAGTAAAGGAGAATGGTTTTTTATTTGGTATGCTTGCTTTTAATGGTGATATCAGGAAATCTTGAATTCTTAATGGGACTTCCTGGTATTTAGATATCTGTGACAGAATTTAGGTATTTGATGATTTAAGGTTCATGTTTCAGTGTGACTAAACAATTTTTTTGGTAAGCTTTGGAGAATGACAATCCAGTGTTTGGTGTAAGTTGTATAATTTGACATCTGTATGAGGTGTGAGGGGACAGAAATACTTGAATTTACCTGTACACATTTCTTTTAGCATTCTTTTTTTTTCTTTTGCATATTATGATGCCTAAGATCTAAATTTGCTTTTAAATGTACAAAAAAAAAGCGTACTTGGCCGGGAAGAAGGATTTATTAAATTGTGTGTAGTGTTCTCACAGTTTAAGGTGGTGTTGTGATGAACCTGAAGCATGAAATTTATTCAAGGCCTTGAAATGTTGACAGTAAAGTTTCAAGATATTCATATGATTGAAGCTTAACAGTGCTTAATATCATAAACATTTTAAGCTGAAGTCAAAGTCTGTATACTGTGTTGAAATGATGTTGAAGTCTAACAGTCCAAAATTAAATTATTATCTTATCTTGCATCACTGAACAGCTTCTATCCATGACTGTAAACAGTTGTGCAATCAATTGAAACAGTTAAATGATGCACTCTATTCTGCATTGCCCAAGGCTGATTTTTAATACACAGATAATACAAATATAGAAGAGTCATCTTGATATATTGCTCATTACTCCTTTAAAAGAACCTCACAAATATGATAGAACATGTTTGTAGCAAATACTTGTGATGAATCGTTATGACCTCATTTTAACACAGTTGTGTTTATAGAGGATATTCAACATGATCAATGTTTTGTTGTTGGATATGGAATTTATTTCAGAAGTTAGACCGGATTTCCTTTTTTTTTTTCTTTTTTTTTAATACCAGGGTATATTTTCACGAGTGCAAAGCACTTGTAAGTGAAAATATATAAAAATAAAATTGTCTTACCAGTAAAATTAATTCCATATTCAACTTACATTTTCTTTGCTTTTCCCTTTTGTCCCTATAGCCTGAATGAGCTTTTCGTAGCAGGTGTAGGCTAGCTGTGACATCATACTTAAGCAGTTGTGAGACATCATGTGAGATTGAAAATTTTAACAACAGTGTGGAGAAACCTTGACAGTGTTAGTCTGGGTCAGAATGGTTTATTCTCTCTCAATATCTATAGGGAGTATTTTTATACCCCCCCCCCTTTCCCCACTTGAATAGTATGATGTGGATGTCAGTATGTCTATCTTTCCATCTGTCTTTCTGTCCATCCATTTTGCTTTGGGGTACCTATCTCTTTTCTGCAACTCCTATACCACTGAATAAAATTTAATACTTTCACAGAATCTTAATTGCATAATTCCATTGTGACCTCTTATGTTGTTTTTTGATCGGACACATTTTTCTGGTTTTCAATAGAAAAACATAGACACTGCCATTCTTTTTGTAATATTGAGGGTACCCATCTCTTATCCACAACTCCTCCTGTATCACAAAATAAACTTTAATGAGAATTTCCCAGAATCTTCATTACATAGTACCATTGTGCACCTCCTACTTGATGTTTTGATCGGACAGATATTTGGGCTTTCCCATTCCAAAAATGAACTTTGCCTTTTTTTTTGTTAATTGGGGGGGGGGATGTTATCATTTGTGATTTTACTTCTCACAGTACCTGTAGTTTATAACACACTTTGTGAAGGGAAGAAGAGTTGCTGCAAATTGATATTTAAGGTGAAAATAACACTAATATGTCTCTATATGAGTGAAAAAGTTTCGAATGGGATGTAGAACAACATACAATCAATCTTTTTTTTTCCAGTGAAAATAACACGTTATTTTCACCATGAAAATAACAGTCGATGAAAATTTAAATTATATTCAGTAGATAAATTACAGAAATTCACTGCTGAAAATATGATAAACTAGGTAAATGTTCTTTTAAGAATCCCTTTTTTTTGTCAGACTTAATGACATGAATTTTTTTTTTACTTTCAGCTGGATCCTTTGTAGCACTCACACTTATGAACAAAGCGCCTGAAAAAGTCACCAAACCCATTCCAGTCGATGTAAGTATGATTAAGTATAAACTGTAATGTAAGTATGTAAGTCGGTAGGATTCTTTTAAGTCACCAAACCTGTTCCAGTTGATGTAAATCATTAGGATTCTGTTAATTCACCAATCTCAGTCCAGTCGATGTACACCACAAAGTTAACTCCAATAAACTTGCTTAAATATGGATTTACCTACATCACATCCACATATTTCCACAACCATTTTGTAGGTAACCTTCTCTTGACTTGATTGTGACGATATTATTACATGGTAACGCGAGATTGTAGAGCAAAGCCATTCCACATTATATTGCTGTATGGACATGACATGGATTAAATATTTAGGGTTAAGTTAATCCAGGATAAGTTGAGCCGGATTGACTTAATCCAGTGTGGATTGGTTCCAATAAAGTTAAAGTTTTCTCAGAATTTATCCATGAAGTTCTTTTTGCAACTGTACATAAAATCATGCCAAATCTGGTGATAGGCTGTTGATGTCCTTTGCTTCACAACTTAGAGGAAGGAAATCTTCATAAAAACATCAATGTATTGTTTTACCCACAAGACATTGTTCTTGCTTGGCATACTTTTGGATTTCTCTATAAGGCCAAGCCCCAGGGCCATGAAACAAAAATGAGCTGACTTAGGATCTCAGTCTCACTTTTATGAAAGGAATTTATAGTGAAAAAGTGAGACAGAGATCAAAAGTGAGCTCGTCTAAGTTTTATGGCCCCGGAGCCAGATCAGGGAAATATTGGCCACTTTTATCACTGGTGAACACATGCAAGGAAACAAATGATGTTTTTGAGTAGTATTACTAAGTATTACTACGATAAAAGATAAAATATGTCTGTTCATTAGTAGACTGTCTGAATTCTCATTGACAGGTGTCTAAATTGACCAGAAAACTTGTTAGCAAATATAAATATTGTAATAAGGACTGTGGCTAGGAATTTAATTGATTTGGACTTCTTTTGCTAAATTTATCAAAACTGTTTTACATCCATATGTAATTATAGTTCCACAAGTTAAGTATTTAAAAAAAGCAATCTGTCTTATAATAATGAGTCCATGTGAAGAGAAAAGTGCATGTTCTTCAGAAAACATAGAAAAATTGGCAGCCTTACTTGCAGTGAGATGTTCTTAGTTTAGAAAAGACTGACATGAATTGCATCCAAATCTATCTTCCAGAGAGTGTAGTGGTAAATTGCTAACCAACTTAAGCAAATCTTCTATATGTTGGTATCAGTAGCCTCTTTTTGTACCTTGTGTATTTTTAGCTAATTTGTAAAACAGAGTCTCTGAATCAGTTATTTTGATCCATTAGGATTTTCACATTAACTATCATCTTTAAAGTTACAGTGAGCGTGGTTGTGGGTGACTTTTAATTAGTAATAAGAGTATAATCCTCTAGCTTCACCTGAAAAAATGTCATGAATTGAAAAAAAAAAGTCTATAATAATTTGTGACCTAACATGATAATACAAGATTTCCAAATATCAGATGTAGTTACATTTTGATATTAAAATGTTTTCAACTGTCCATCATCAAAGTTGGCTTTTATTTTGCTGTTTGAGCTAATTTAAGGTTTATAAATGATGCAAGGATACGGTTTATGTGACTGATTTTTCTACCAAGTATTTATATTATATTTTATATTAGAATATTATATGTACTCTGTACAGTTTTGATTCATCTTTTCACAATCTATCTATGCTTTAGAAGTCTGTATCAAAAAGAAACATCTTTATGCCATACATATAATAGATAATTGATACTTTGTACAATACAGTCTACATATAATAGATAATTGATACTTTGTATAATACAGTCTACTGTAAGTAATTGCTTAAACCTGACAAAATCTCTCTTGGCAGTCAAGAAAGAGCGCAGAACTACAGGCTTCCAAACTTTCTGAGATCAAGAAGTATTATGACAATGCCACAGAGGAATTACAGGTTGGCAGCTAGAGTCAGGAACTATATGTCAATATTAATAAAAACTCCTAGTCATTTATATACAGAAAAGAAGAAGAACTAATTTTAGAAGCTCTCTGTACTGCAATATTCCATTTAAACTTTTCTCAAATAAAAGTATATTTTCTGTTTCACATGAAAATTTTCAGAGCTTAGATTAATGAAACATTTAGTAGGTTTTATGCTGTAATGCTGTAATTTGAAAGTAGTGAAAATACAACTTCTGAATGATTTTTTTTTCTTCCAGAGAACAAGAACACAGCTACAGAATAACCCAGCAGATGACAAACTAGCTTCCAAGGTCAAGGAGCAAGAAGTTCTCGTTAAAAAACTTGAAGATCAATTAAAGGTTCTTAGTTCTACCTTAAACTCTAGTCAAAATAATGTAAGTAGGTCAAAGGTCAAGGTTGCATGTGTGTGAGGCATGACCTTTGTAACAGTTGTGTGTTGTGCCTAAATCCATGTGGGTGAGTGTTACTGCTATTTGGAATTCAGATGGTGCAAAAACAGCAAGACATAAATCTTAAGGGGATATCTCAAGTTTAATTTGTTTTCAACAACTTCAAAGTGCTGTCAGTTCAATTTCCTTTCCAAAATTTTTTAGTAACACCCCAAAAGAGAATATTTAACTTCCCTGCTTCTATATTCACCTTTTGTTCTATCTCACCACCATGTTGTTGTTACGTAAGTTTAGAGAAGGATCCTGGTCAGAGATAATTCTGACTGTGATGGTATTATAATGTCAGATTCCAGAGGTTTGTGACAGGATATGGATTCTAGTTTGTAGATTCCTGTATTTCTGGTTTTATTGACTCTGGAATACATGCTTGTCCATTTTTGTTTTGTCGAGTTTATTTTGATAACAATTGTAGTCTATGGTCAGTGTGTAAGAATATTGTTGAAGTCACATGTTATACTGTTCTGCTGTGTAGGTAGATCTGTCTTTATATGATAATTCATCAATGTAACACTGTAATTAGGCCTGCTTAAGACTGATGTCTGGTTATCGTATGATGGATTCACTTAATTACAATGTTTTGAAATAACATTGGTTAAGAATGCTGCTTTTGTTTAAGATGGGTGTTTTCTTTGTAATAAAATGTGGTTCGCATTTTTGAGCAGTTGATCAAGTTTTACATAGGATTACTAGGGGAATTTAAAAAAAAAATCTTTTCAGATTGTTGGAGTCAGAGAATTTTGGATTGCACTGTGTTGTGTGGAATGTGTGCATGAATGAAACGTAATAAAATAGCTGTAGAAATGGTTCTTATTAGAATTGAATTTTAAATCCCATAATAAGTGTACAGATGATTATGCCCTGGATACAAAGGATGGCAATTATGAATATTTTAAAAATCTGTGCATTTGGTTTAATTGTAATTGTCAGAGAGGGAGATACTGTATTCTAAATCTATAAACAATGCAATGATTAAGGAAAAAAAAATTGAAAAAGGTGGAATGGGGGGGGGGGGGGCTTATTATGTAAGATGTTTCTAAGTTCAGTGGAGATCTTAAGTTGCACACATTTACAATATATATCAACTTGTTAGAATTGCTTATCGAGACTAATTTTCCCTTGGAGTTATTATAATTGAGGTGTGCAGCACAAAGTGTTGTAGGAATTCCATTAATCATATTAACATTTGCTTGAATTTGAGGAAACTTGAGTAACCTTTCCATTGTGACCTGTGTAGCTAATCTTTTTAATGCATGCAGTGATTGGCTGTCCATGTTTTCACAGGTCAAAAGTTTGCAACAGGAAATCTAACAAATGTACTTATTGATTGGTTGACATAAAAAAGTTCTTCAATGTATAATGATACCATACATATACTAAATATGATACTGAGAAATCACTAATTTTTGTGGGGTTTAATTTTCATTGTTTTTGAGGTATGAAGACACCCACGAATTCATGTCCACCACGAAATGTACAGTAAATTTTCACATATATTACTACTCAACAATATCTTTATCCACAAAATCAAATCCCCACAAACCCAATTTTCCCCCTCAATCCACGAAAATTTGACCCCACGAAAATATCTGATTTCACAGTATATTACAATGTATTTGAATATATTAATTTGAAAAAACACTTTTTATCAAGTGTCCTTAAGAATTCATTTCATGTTTATATACATCTGTGACACAGACTTCTTTATTGTTTTTTGTCTTACAGGCACAAGCGGCAGAAGAAAGTAGTCCAGACATTGGAAACGGGGACGGATCAGTCACTCCGTGGGTAAGTCCTGACAGTGTGGGGTGTGGGCGTGTCTGTTTTAACTTATGTGGTTACTATACGTATATCACTTCTTTCACAGTATTGTTTCCTTCTTATCTGGCTTTTATTATCTTATCAATTCAATGTACTGTAATTGTTATAGGTATTTTTGTTAGTTTGTGTTAGTTATGTTCATATATATGTGATATTTTTTGGACCCTAAATGTTTGCTGTGTCAATTGCTAGCTGCCTGATGGTCCAAAACATAAAAAGTCAGGGTCTACCCCAATTGACTTTACACCAGACACTAGGGAATTAAGGGCTATTTCTCGCTCTATGTCTGATGCTAGCAGTCGAGTTATGTTTCGGAAGCCTGCTCCAGTACAGAAACGACAACCAGGGGACATAAGTCCAGAGGTATCTATCTCAGTCTTCAGTGCTGTTTAAATGTTTGTACACCCAGATATTGTCATGGAAAAGACCAAGCATTTAACAAACACTGTTGATAGAAGCCATGCCAGTTCTGATCTCCCTTCTATTCTAGAATTAATCCATGCTTGTTGCCTTATATGAGGTAGACATTTGATCACACATGCAGTCGTTCAGCCATTTCTTAAAATGATCCAGCACTTACTGTTTTGACTTCCAGCCCCTCTCGCACTGTGACACTGCAATGCTGTAGTTCTTAAGGGGGTAGCTTGTAAGACTATTTCTGAGGGTGTTTCCTTGATTGTTAAGGACTACAATATTGTACTCAGTGTTTGGCTTGCTCAAAAAAAGTACGAGACATTGATCACTGTCACATTTCCTATTTGCACTTTTCACCATTTGACTCGTACAGATCAGCATTTGTAAGTCATAAATTGTCATTCAGAATAAAGTAAACAAGAGCTTTGCTTATTATAGCCTTCTCATTATTGAAGCTGTTGTTCTCTCTGCATTATGTCAAGGTCTCCATTAGAAAAGAAAAGAGATTTAAATATTTTATCAATTAAAAACATGCATGGTGTACTAAACCACACATTTAAAGTGCCGTTATTTTGTGAAGAGAGTACCTGTAGATATATTGATTTTTGTATTCCTGTATTGTAATGTTTGTCTACCTGTATTCTGATTGTTTTACCCCTGTATTTTAGCATGTATTGTTTAGCACTAGACGAGGGCGAGTGTTTAGAATAAAACAGGTACCGGTATTTTTTATTGTGGATCTGGAGCATTGGGTTTCTGTCTCAGTTTAAGCTAATCCTAGACTCCAGTTTTGTTTTTGAGAATTAAGTACTAACAATTGAGAAGTTTCTTATTTTCAGGTATCGGACATGAATTTATGTTTTCTGTTTTGAATAGTGCATTTGTTATTAACAGAAACAAATTATATACTCATTGACATTTTAGCTCACCTTGACATTTGTAGAAATTTTTTTTGAATACAGTCAGCTTGTATGTAAAAGATGTACACAAATATTTAAATGTTGTATGAAGTGAAACTAATTGCTACATCTATTTAAAGATTTGTTTTAAACACTTCTAGATGTCGAGATGAGCTTATAGTTTTTACACTGTGTTAAAATCATTCTGGATTTGAAAAGTTTGACAGTAGAGGACATGGTTTTCTGTTTGAAAAACTTCATGTTTCTTTATCAAAAAAGTTTTTTTTTTTCAGAATTGCTTTTCAATTATATTTGAGTTAAATAAATCTTCTATACTTCAAATGCACATCTGATCTTTTTACTCAAAGGATAATAATATGTAGGGGGGAGCTAAGCAAAATTAAAGCATGAAACTAGATATTGATCAAACTCTCAGCTAGCATGCTTACACTTTTTTGTCATGAAAAGGAAAGCACTGTTTTACTCTTTATTTGTAAAAAAGTTTGAATTTATAAATGATACCACATTGAGATCTAAGTAATTGCAATATTTTTACATATAAAGGTCAGTTTTTGTTATGCATATCAATCTGTTAAATGCACATACCTTTATCTTGTTTTATGTGTTTTATTAAACCTGTGCTTGTAAATTTCAGGGAACAACCGGTCCAGTTTCTGATGGTAGCAGTGTGTCCGATTCCCCTAACACCTCCCCTCCTCCTTCTCCCACCCCAACCCACCCCAACAACTTAGAAGACACACAATCCGTCCACAAGAAAGACCTGGAGTATGATGTGAGTTCATTTTAATTTTTTTTTATTTTAAGTATAAGATGATAAATATTTTTGGAAAGTCATTGCTTTAGGTTAAATGAAGTGATAAAGACTTGGAAAAAAAACTATAAAAAAGCAACCACTCCAGCATTCAGAATGATAAAATCATAATACTCTTTTTTCATTATGAGAAGGTCAGCTTTTGTAATGCTGTTGTTTGTTGTTTAGGAAGTAAGTCAGACAAGTCAGGCTTCTATTGGTCAACAACAGATGCCAATCATTGCAGCAGAGGAGGACGAATTCAACTCAGATGAAGATATGCAAAACAAGGTAGTTAAAATTGCGATGATCACAGAACGATCAAAGGGAAAGAACTTCCAAAATAAATACTAGTTTTGTATGCATGATCTAAAGCTTGTATAACCTATATGTCTGTAAAATTTATAGTGTTCTCAAAATTATTTCTGAAGATTGGCTTTTAGATATGTACTCATCTTACATAGAAAATAGTATCAGAGATGTAATGCACAATTAAAATGCACACTTGACCAATTCATTTTAACGAAGAATATGTTATAACTGCAGAATAATTGCAACAGAAAATGTGCCCCCATACAAGATATGGAAAGTGTGCTGTCACATGTTAGAATTTCAATGATGATAGGCTTAATTAGATCAACTTATAAAAGATTCTGTTGCAGTTATTTTGGGATGATGTATTTAGAGTGGACACAGTAGATGAATTTAGTTTCACTTTGATTCTAATTCTTACTAGTACCGGTACTTAGAACTTGTATAGCATGGATTGTGTTATGTCATTGAAATATCTCGTCATTTTGTTGATGTTTTGACCACTTTGTTAAGAAGTCCCCTAGCCCTTTCACCATGTCATTTATATGTATTTATTGTCAGGAACTGGATATGCAAGACCAGAGGCCTGTTCAACAGAGCGAACGCTCGCCTAAATTCCTTATCCCTCCAATAGAAATGTTCGTGAGCGCTCGCAAACGTTCGCTCTGTTGAACAGGCCTCAGCTTTCCATAGTAAAGACATTATTTAGAATAAGTATGATTATATATTGAGATTGACACATTGAAATGTATAAAGGACACATTGAAATGTATAAAGTGAAAATGCAGGAGAGGGAACCAGATCACCTATCAAAACTTTTTATATTGATTTATATTTAAATTTTAAACTTAGTTCCTCATATATATTATTGTCAGTATCTATAACAGAGTTGAAATATGATAATGGGGTTGAGATGTGGTGTTAAGTTTTCTATTTTTGTTTCTTTTATGATTTGGTTTGTTTTTCCTAATCCAGGTACCAGTCAATGGGAGATCATCATCGTTAACAACTGCCTATTTAAATGCCAGATCTCAAGCCGAGGTTAACAATTTATTAATGCACTGCTGTAATAGAGCATGTGGCTAGAGGTTTAACCATGCTAAGCCTTCCTTGTCTCACCCGTCATGTCATCAGTACTCATAGCAATTTTTTTAATGCAGCCAGTATATTAATAAAAAGGGAAAAAAAAGGAAATAAGCCAAATTTTTGGCTATTTTTAAACCACCCTAGAAATTCTGTGTATGGTACACAAATTTTTCTTTGTATTTCTTACAGCTGTATTGCAAATTTAAATATGCTTTTGCTACAATTAAAGCGTCAGTAATTTCTCACTTAATAAAGCACTAAAGATAAAATAATAAAAAGATTTTTTGTAGAAGAGATTTATAAAATATATATCGATATACATATACATTTCTACAGTCATACCTGGGTAGAGAATGTGGAAAACTCACTGGGGCTGACCATAAAAAAATAAGATACATGTACTAATCATAAATAGGAGCACTGTATTAAATCTAGCATATCCCTAATATTTGACATATATTAATTACTAGTCCAAGAAACTGAAGTTCAACTGTATTTGTAATTATGCAAATCAAATGGTAGTAAAATGATGCCATTAAAGTTTAGGATACTTTTCTATGACAGTGCACATTATTCTTTGTACTAAATTAAATTGTATGTACAGGCATATTCAAAATACATCTGGGAATTGGTTATATTCATGTGTAAACGTTCAACTTAACAAAGGACTTTATGAAACAAAGACCACTTTCTGCCCCTTTTCTTAAGCTGGTGCTGTTATACGACCGATGACATCCAAAAATAAGAATTCAATGCTTAATTAAATTCTATATTTTACATTGTTTAATTGTTTTCAGTTTTTGTATATCTCATTGAAGTTTGTTTTGGGGTTGGGGGTGTTATATTTTTATGCATTGATTTATCCAATTCAGGGAAGTATACTATTTTATGCAGTCAAATTTAACCCTTTGCAATCAACAAATCATATACTTGTCACAAATGTGCTCTCTTATTGGAGATCTGTTTATAGAACTCATTGTGATCAAAGCTAGAGCAGTTTTTCTAAAAAAGAAAATATGGATATATTATGAAACCAAATGTTGAAGAAAAGAAAAAAATAATTTCTCTGCTTTATTTCAAAATGAAAAGTGTCTTGAATTTTTATAAATCATAGAAACAGAAGTAATATGCTATATTTATGTGTAACTTGCAAACTTTGATGGGCAGATAGTTGGGCCTGCGGCATATAGTCCTTCAGTACCATATGTATTATTATAATTAGCTTTCTACTACATCTGTACACTTTGTAATCTGATTCCAGGGATACCTCAGTACCCCAACCTGTATATTGTAAGAGGTCTTCTTACGATTCCAATTATCTATTATACTGTTTCATATCCAGATATAAATCTATTAAAAATTGTCTCCCTTTATTCTGCCCATTGATACTGTAATGTATACAAGGCTTAATTAATTTGTATTTTACTGTTCCTTACAGAATAGTGCATGAAGATCTAGTTAAGGACCACAGTGATTCCTTACCTTTATTTGTATTCTGTCCTCTCTGTTTACGGTCACTTATTTCCTTTGTATGATGACTATGGGCCTCTTTGTTTACAGTTGTTGTTGTTGTTTTATAGCTGGATGACTGTGGGCCTTTCAGTAGTCTACATCAGCTGGAGACTAAGCCAGCCCACATGTCTGTCTTCCTGAACTTTGTCCTCCAGAATGAGTCCCCCTCAGCTCTGGTTTGTATCTATCTTAAATTACCTAATAAAACATAAAAATTCTATTCATCAAGTAAAAGTCAGGTAATAACTTCAAATTTTATATTAATAAAGCAGGAATATTTCCAGCTATTTATAGAGACAGTTTGAATCCATCATAGTATTTTTGACTTCTGAGAAAAGACAAATTAAAGGAATAAAAGATGAATTTTCACATTGAAATCTTATGTTAACAGTTATTTTATATAACCACAAATGTGTACCAACAAGCCAAAGGGGGTATCAAGGAATTACAGAAGTGGGCATTCGAGATTTTCTCTACATTTCTGGCAAATGGAGCAGTAAGTTACTGTTGTCTTTTGTTTTCTGTATCTTTGTAACATTATTAAGTAAAGGTATTTTATCTATTGATATTATTCATACCTAGTCTTTTCGGCTGTGAAAACAGCTCTGTTAATTCTTAATGAATGGATTCTTGCTGACATACTGATTTGTTTCTAGCCCCTAAAGGTTAATGTGGACCAGGGCCTCGTGGAGAGAATTAATGAGACATTCAATAGTAAGTCTTCCGAGAAAGAGGACATATTAAGGACGGTGTTTAATGGAGCTCGTAACTTTGTTCAAACAGAGATCTCCAACAGCCTTCAGGGATTCTGCAGTAAATTAGGCTTAGGTAAGGGGGAGATAACTCATTTCTAAAGCAGAGATTGAAAATAACAGCCATAGGAAGAATGCAGTTTCTCCATTTCTGATGAAACTAGCAGGAAAATGAGAACCTTTGGATTCTTTTTTAGGTTTTGGCACTATGTATGGTTTACAGCTAATAACTGGTATATCCAATATGAGGCAGAAAGAAGAAGCAGAAGTTGCATTACAGATACTGTCTTCTTACATTGACAAAGTCCCGTAAGTTACACATAGAACAGTTATTGTCTCCTTACATTGACAAAGTCCCGTAAGTTACACATAGTACAGTTATTGTCTCCTTACATTGACAAAGTCCCATAAGTTACACATAGTACAATTACTGTCTCCTTACACTGACAAAGTCCCGTAAGTTACACATAGTACAATTACTGTCTTCTTACATTGACAAAGTCCCGTAAGTTACACATAGTACAGTTATTGTCTCCTTACATTGACAAAGTCCAATTACTGTCTTCTTACATTGACAAAGTCCCATAGGTTACACATAGTACAATTACTGTCTTTTTACATTGACAAAGTCCCATAAGTTACACATAGTACAATTACTGTCTCCTTACATTGACAAAGTCTCGTAAGTTACATATAGTACAAGTACTGTCTCCTTACATTGACAAAGTCCCGTAAGTTACACATAGTACAATTACTGTCTCCTTACATTGACAAAGTCCCGTAAGTTACACATAGTACAATTACTGTCTTCTTACATTGACAAAGTCCCATAAGTTACTCATAGACAATTACTGTCTCCTTACATTGACAAAGTCCCGTAAGTTACACATAGTACAATTATTGTCTCCTTACATTGACCTGGGGCTTGTTGGACATTTTTTTAAAAATTATATTTATTGCACTTATTCATCATGTGTACCATAGGAAAAAATCGTGAAAACCCCAAAATAATCGTTCCACACAAAATTACCCCACTATACATTATAAGAGAGAAAGGTATGCCACTCTGGTTTGTTTACGTGGTACCCCCACTGGTCTTTCTGGGTTTAAAAACATATTTATTTTATTTTAACCTAAAATGTCGGTTCACACTGTCTCTACATATATTTCTGTCTTAGTTCATGCTATCGGATTGACTCTGCATCTCGTAAGAATCCCACAATTAATCCTTAAACAGCATTGCAGTCGGTGCGTTGAAAAATCCTTAGGTAAACGCAACGGAAGTACACCAAAAATGTATAACTTATAAGATAACGTCCAAGAGAGTTTTGGCCTGATGTAATAATCTCTCTCGGGTGTAGTCATAATAAGTAATATATTCTCTATGCACTTCTGTTGCGTTTACCTTTTTTTCAACACACTGACTGCAATGCTGTTTAAGGAGAAATTGTGGGATTCCTACGAGATGCAGAGTCGGGGGGGGTGGGGGGGGGGGATCCTGTCCGCAAGTACCTGTGAGTACAATTACTGTCTCTATACATTGGCAATTGACAAAGCTTATAGTAAAATTGAGTTCTTCTTACATTGACCGTAAGTTACACATAGTACAATTATTGTCTCCTTGCATTGACAAAGTCCACAGCAGTAGCAAACATCAGGAAAATGAGCAATACTTGAAATAGGGAATCTAAAATTAATTCAAACAAGACAAGTTCTTTCTCATGAAATGCTTGCCCAACAAACAACTTATGTGTGGAGCCTTGGTAAAATCTGAAGCTTTGAGATTCTGTAGTGTAATTCACATCCATACGAGTATATTTAGCTCAAGCCTAAATGATTTTGTTCATATACAGAATCTTGTTGAATATTAACACTCTCTTGTTATTTCTAATTTTAGTATCTTCTAAATAGGGTTCAGTAATACTGTTTTTCTGTAGGTCATCATATAGACATTTAAAGGACATTGCGTACATGTACGTTTTTGACTTCATTTTGAATTTTGCTCTGAATTGCATAGATCTGTATTTTCAAACTAGATTAAATTTATCATAACTTCCAGACAAACGAATAGTTTCATTGATACTATGTGAAAGCATCACCCTGACAAACAAATCCATTTTTTATTTACCAAACAATGTCTCATCTGCATAACTCGGGACTGCATAATTCGTACTTTGACTAAGTTGGAGTGAAAAGTCCATCACCTAGACCCAACTTGACAGTCTCAAATTGGAGTAATTTCTTAAAGATATGTTGGAACTTTTATTGCCAGTTGTGCTTCATGACATCAAAATATTGGGGCCACAAGTTACAGTACCAGGACTGATAATCCAAAACGGCAAACATGTTTGGTTTCTCTAACTCCACTAGTCTAGGTCTATTTTCAGCGGAATCTTATAACATCTCAGTTTGTATTCAAAAAGGCTTTAATGATAGCGATCTGGGCCTTCTAAATTTAAAACCTATCATGACAAACTAACTATTTCCGGAATATTTTGATCAATTTTACCGAAAAAATTTTAAATGCGGCGGGGCTTGAGAACCAATCTTATTAATTTTTTATTTGGCGTTACTGTTGATTGACTAGTGTTAATTGTAGACAATCTGATGAGGAGAGTAAGCCTGACCAGAGTCATGCCATTGCCTGGGCTGTAGCAACATTCCTCAGACACAATGGGATCATGGACAAAAAGCACTCCTCCATGGAGAGGGTGCAGAGCTTTATGGCCAAAGATAAAAAGAAACCTCTGATTCAGAGGAAGAGGGTATGAACAGCAGTAGAATACAATATAAAACATTCCTTAAAGATATAATGCCTGCTGCATAAAATGTGAAAAATTCAGCCAATTTTAGGGGGAAAAAACATGATATTTAGAATTCTTGTATATTTCAGACCCAGAAGGGACACAGTTTCCAGCCTCAGCATTTTTCTCGGGTTGAGAACTGTATACACTGTAGAGAGCTGATATGGGGTGTGGGAATCCAGGGCTACCAGTGCTCTAGTAAGTTATAGGGGTCAGGAAACATACATGTATAAGATCAAGGATTTTTGTGTAGTATATAGAAATGTAAAGCTTTTATAACCTAATGTTTCCCTTTGGTTTCATATATCAATAACCACAAGCACAAACAAGTTGAGGAGTTCTAACTGTATTTCTTGAATGTGTGAAGAATGTATCGGTTTACATGTACTTTCAGACTGTGAGCAGTGGATACACAAATATTGTTTAGACAGTCTGGAGGATCAGTGTCCTAAGAAAAAGCGTCCACGTCCTCATTCATCTGTGTTCAATATTCCAAGACCACAAGCAGGTAGGTTGCCACCTCTTAATGCTTATCCCAGCCTGATGAGTGGAGTTAGTGTATAAAACTGCCCACGCTGGGAAACTTCTACTTGGAAAGGGGTTATATCTCTCAAAGACAAAATTTGTCAATAACAACCTCATTTTTGAATGCAAGAATACTGCCAAATTATAAAATACTGATTGTGTAGCACCTCTTGTAGACAGACATTCCAGTTCTAGTATAGAACAAATGCTAAGTCGATCAGGTACGTAGTACATGACTACAGACTTTAAGCTTTAGGATTATATCCTCCTAATGCATGAAGTAAACCACTGATAAGATTCAGATGATCACTCTGATCAGTGGTAAATACTTCATCGAAGCCAGAATCTTTAGCCTTTTTTCCCCCTAAATACTTTTTTTTGTAACAACAGACTATAATTTTATAACAATGTAACTGCTTATTATTTCATTTTCTTTGCATGTTAAAAAAAATGGCTAGGGAGATTAAGTTAGAGGCATGATGTGCATGTTTTGTGTAGTGAAATGCCCTGTTGTATACATGAATAGGTAGTCATGGAGTCGTGAAGCTCATTTTACCAGAGCTTTGGCCAGCAGGTATCACTAGATATTCAACATCCACTCTTGTAGAAATGTATACTGCACAGTCTGTATTGTTAATCTCATAAACAGATGTACTCTAGGTATTAGACTGACACTATACCTGTCAGTCTCTGATTGTGTTTTCAGTAGATTGAAAAAAAAATGTTCACCACTGAGTTCATGTTCACCATAGTGTTCATGTTCACCATTGTGTTCATGTTCACCATTGTATTGATGTTCACTATCGTGTGTTTATTTGAATGCTGACCATTCAATAATGTAGTTGTTTAACACATTCCAGAGAGTAGTGTAGTTTATCAAGGATATCACTATTATGGAATTCATCTGTCTTAGACACAATAAACATTTTACATACATGTAGATTTTCTAACAAAAAATATTATGGCGCTTATTAACAAACATAAATTTGATGTAAATGACTAACAATGCCCCTAATGTATATTCTGCTTTTATCTTAACAAGTTTTCCATGTGCCATTGGCTTTGACAGGTAATTTTTGCATTTGGTTGAATGTTTTGCCTGAGCCATCAGATATGAACATGTACATGTATTTCCATAACGCTTCACATTCAGTACCTACATATAATATATAGCCCTCTTATAATTCTTTGTCTGACAAAAAACATTTAGATAGGTTGCAGGATTGTATTTTAACTGTATTTAACATTATCTAACGATGAGAGGTGTGCATCTACAAAGGCAGGAATGAAGAATATATTTGAATAACTTGACAAGCATGTTTATTATTTATGAAGGAGACTTTTGAATCATTAAGAAAATTGATGGTAATATTGTATAAGCAGAAATTTTAGTGAGGATTCAATTTTTGCATTTTTAGCGAGGGTGCTGAGATTGCAAAAATTAAATTTTGCTAACAATTTATTCTGCATAAGAGGTTAACGATATTGTTCTCTGCACCATAAAATCGCTAAAATTACTTCTCGCTATAATTAGATTATGATTTTTAAGGACAAATTGCTAAATTTGCATCTCGCTAAAAATTCCACTTATACGGTGTATTTTCCATCATGCACATACATTTTAGAATGCAATGTACATGAAGTATATTGGGGGATCTCAAACTTTATTAGGTACTGATGTCCCTCCACACTTTTTTTAGCATGTACATTTGATAAAATAAGTACGTGTACTACATCTTGAAATAGTCATTTTAGCATGAAGATAATTGTATGCAAGAACATTTTACTATAAGAAATATTTCACTTTGTTTTCTTATTCTTTATTTAAGAATAATGAGCACATTTTAAATGACATCATATTTCCTATATTTCTCTGTCTTGAAGACTAACTGCATTTGCATCCCCTTGAAAATGCACTGCTAGCTGTTAGTTATACATTGTTCTGTTATTATCTGTGTTCTATTGGATACTGTTGTTTCAGTCCCCTCAACCTCAGAGGCTCCCAGTCCGAGTCCAGCCAATCCCACAACGTTTAACATACAGCCCTTTAAGGATGAGCGAGAGGAAGATAAAGGTAACTCAAGAACCAATGGAAAAGCTTCTTATAAATTTACAAATTTAGATGTTGTTGTGTTATGATGATAGACTGAATTTATTCTTCATGAGGGTGAAAGAATTATGTCCTATACTGTAGATTCCTAAATATAGACGAGGAATTAATTGTCATGTAATTTCATAAGAAACAACACTCGCAAAATTAAATTACTCGCAGGGATTTTTATGGTGCTAAAATCCATGCAAAATCCCTTGATCAACCATCCATTCATGGATTATTGTTATACTATTGCGTGTATAAAGTTTGATAAAATTGTTATACTATAGCATGTATAAAGTTTGATTTCCATTTCTACAGGCTTAGATTAAGAAAAAAATGAAAATTCACATTTTTTTTTTTTTTTTTTATCATTTCAGTAACACCAATGCATTCAGTAAATTCCTTGATTAAAAGATATGACAATGGAAACCCTGATGCACCGAGTGACCGTAAGAAGAGTCCTAGTGTCGAGGACATGGCCAATAAGTAGGTCACTGTGACCTCATTCTGTAATCAAGAGGTCATCATTAGCATGTTAAACAAGTATAAACAAAAAAGCAGCACATGATGCACAGACACATACAGCTTTATAGAGGACAAGATATTTTGTAAAGATGCTTTGTGAATTGGGATGCTAGTAACTGCTATATAAGAGATAAAAATAGACATTGTCTTGATCCGCTGCTTAGACAGAGCTATTTATATCACATAGCCATGTATCATATATCAATGTAGTACTGCTTCAGAATTACCAGGAAAGCTCAGGAGAACTTAAGTCAGTTTTCTCGTTTTTAATGTTAGGAAGGAGAAGTAGACACTGAGCTTTCCTGTGTGTATCCTCTGGTGGTAGTCTAATATTCTCTAATATTCTGCACAGCCAGTGCAAGTTTTCTTCCTCCTGCAGTCTTCAGATGATGTAATCTAACATACAGTATCATTAAAGTCTTGATTAAAAAAGTGCAAAGATAATTTTTTGGGGAAAAAGAAAGTTAAAATTGGGAAGAGAAAATTTGGTCTTACCTATAAGTGATTTGCTGTGTATTAGGTTGGTGCCTGTAACATTTAGGGATTTGAATAATGCTGTGGTTCTTATTACAAAAACTGGCTTGACAAAGTATAAAATGTAAACATATAAATTATATAAAAGTATCTGTATATATGTACATGTGCTACATCTAACCCAGTATCATTTAAAGAACTGTACATATTTTCATTCAGAGAAAAGTTACATTCAATTTTTTCAAAGTAAAAGTATAAGATCTATCAATTTGAACTGGCTGTCTATCAGAGCTTTCTCCAATAATCAGCATTAGAAAAGTAGAAGCAATCAGCTTCCTTATTTGATGTGGATGATTTTCCTTTGTTGACCTTATTATAGGAAATCAACTGAGATCAGTAGATCTGAAAGTTTAAAGGGTCGGCAAGACCAGAAAGGCAGAATTAAACAACGTCGCGTTAAAAGGTGAATTCATATCAAACGCATGTGTCTTCTTGATTGAATTTGGCATAACCCGTGTGATTGTCATAGTGTGGCGATTTGGGTTAGGTCGTACACTCTATGATAGTCGGTTTTCATTTCACTGTACAAATGTTTAGAATCGGGGTTAGTACATGTTGTTTTAACTCGAGTTAGTACAGGATGGTTAAGGGAAGAGTGTGATGAGGCCATTTGTACAGTAAATGAATTTTAAAAAGTTGCTATGGACATTTTTTTTAAAGATATATTTTATAAATTCATAATTCAAATATAGCATGAAGATTCTTTTATTTTCAATATTTTTATTTTTAAAATCTTTAAGCATGATGTCTCCTTGTTTTGAGCAAAATTTCCAGAATCTGTTCACCCTGTCCTTTATTTTTTTTTTTTTTTTTTTATTTTGCATGAATTAAAAATAAAAAGAAAATCCCCCTTAAATAATGAATGTTTAAAACAAGTTAAATGAAGCTGGGTTATGGAACTGATGGACAGTAAAAGTTTACATACATAAAGGTGACATATGCACAATATATATATATTTATGATGCAAGTTGCTGCATTTTTTATCATTTTTGATAGAAAAAAGAGTAAATTGAACATTTAATCAGATGGTACTTTTGCTAAATCAGTATGGCTGTAAACTCTATAAGGGTACTGAATTTAAACTAATACTTAATGGGGTATGGGATTTGGACTGATGGCTGTACACTTATTAGGCAGTTGGATTTGTACTAATATTGTATGACTGTATGTCGGTCATGGGACTAATTACCCGTCAGTCATTTGGATTAACTACATGTCAGTTGCTCTCCTGTCTCACTGCTACTAACCTGTCACGTTCACTCCTATCTTCCCATATTTAAGAGAAAATTTTGTGTTCAATATAAATAATTCAAGGTACTTATTTTAAAAAGAATCAGTTATAATAAACTTCCCAAATATTTTGCAAGAGAATTAGCTTTCAATGTTTATTTTTCCAGTTTTGTTCTGCATATTTTTCCTCCTCTTAAATATGTTTGCATATATATTCTTCACATAATTTTGTTTACCTTTGTCTTTCGGAAGCAGAGACTTTTTTTAATTTCTAAATGATATTTTTTTTTATATTTCTGTTTTTAGTGATGTGGAAATTGATGATAATATGATGAGGACCATTACAGGCAATTCTCCAAGTTCTTCCTCCTCAAGTATAAGGTATGGTCTATTTGTTTATTGAAATCAGCTGATAGGCTGGCTGTTTTCCTTGACAACCAATAACTTTGTTAATATAAATAGCTGAAAGAAAAAAGAAAACTAATTCAGATTTTAATTTTTATGCTATTATTTCCTTATCAAAAAAAAAAAAAATATACTGGTAGAAATAATAATCTTAGGAAGTGAGAGAAATGAATTGTGTGTGTTTACTTGAGAGTAGGGATCTTGTGAAGGACATGTTTGTAATGTCAACACTGAAGGTCAGGTTGTAAACTTTATCAACTTCAATGTAGGACCATGTGTTATAAGCTGTATAATTAATATTGTACTATTACAAACATTAATTATTATTGGACTATAGGCCGTAGTACCCTGTGTTATCTTGTGTATAAGGGATGGCCCATAAGGGACATGTAGTGAAATATATTATATTAAAATGTGCTACAGACTGTATAAGAAACATCTTTAAATAACTGTAAAACCATATGTTTTTAGACTTTCATACATGTAGGGATATTCATTTAATTACAGTATAAAGTGTGCATACACATAGTCACATCCATTCAGTACAATTCTCAATCTCATGCATGTGTTCACAAATATAGGGTTAATTATCACCACAAAAATCAACAGATGTGTCAATCATTTATCTATCTATAAAGTCATTTCATAAAAAGAAAGATATAAATATTCAATATTTTAAAAAAAAATCCTAAAGGTTGATTTATAGTTCACAGAGATTCAAGTACAATGAAACTTAATTTCAGTGCATGTTAATTAAAATAGAAATAGTTCACAGTGTTAAATGATTTTATGCGTCTACCATTTAACTCTCTACAGTGTTAAATGATTTTATCAGTCTACAATTTAACTGTCTACAGTGTTATATGACTTTGTCTATCATTGAACTCGTCTACAGTGTTAGATAACTTTTTTGGTCTAACACTTAAATCATCTTCAGTGTTAGATGACTTTGTTGATCTACCATTTAACTTCCTGTTTCCTTTTTACAGGAGTGGGGAGAGTCCCAGCAGTTCTATGGATGCTGTAAACAATATTCCTCATACCATAGAGAATGACTCAGATTTCGAAGTTGAAAATGAATTACCTCCCTTAGAATCTATTTATCCCAGAGATGTTTACAAGAAGTTGCGACCAAAAGATAGGAAGAGATTAGAAGTAATAAATGGTAAGATTTAATTAGTCTGACATAATGCATTGTTTTTTGCATGTACTCGAATAAAAGAAATCTCCAAGTCTGTAAAAGGCAATATATATTATGTATATACAGTAAAACTCAGTCATAGCAAAGTCCTGGGGATCTGTGAATTCACTTCATTATATCCGTACTTTGTTATGTTGTTAAAATGTATATAGTGAATTCGCAATAAACATGTACATGTTTTACAAGTATGACTACCGAATATGTTCAAGAAGCATTTAATACAGGACATATCTTAGATAACTCAAATTTTTATTGTGAATTAAATTTAATATATAAATGCTTAATGAAAAATAGTCTGTTCAATATTTTGAATTTAGAGATGTTTAAAAATTTGTTTAAATATCATTATTTTTATATCTATATCTGTCAATTCGTTATATATAAGAGTATATAACTGTAAAATTTTACAAGAAATTATTAATAAGAATTTTGCCTGGGATCCTGAAAAATGTCGCTTTATTCGTGAATTTGCCATATACATTTTCATACTAAATGAGTTTCACTGTATTGTGCTGAGCTGTAAAAGGGAATATATTTATATTATGTTTGGATGATCTGTGAAAGGTGGTATATATATATATTATGTATAAATTTGGCTGATCTGGGAAAAACAGTTTCTATTATTTCTAATTCAGCTGATAGAGGTTTAACAGTCTGTTTTATGGAATGTATTTTATGTGCATATTAGGCAGATAGGGGTTTATGCAATATGTATTATGAATACAGTTTGCACACACAATTCAATATGTTAATTTTGAAATTTTTTTTTCAGAATTATTTTACACAGAGAGAACACACTGTCGAAACTTGAAGATATTACAGAACTTATTTTATAAACCTATGTCCCAGGACCCTAATATATCCCAGGATTTGATTAATACACTATTTCCTAACCTAGAAGAAATGATAGCACTACACGGTAAGATTTTCTGGCTTAAATGTCTGTTTACAAAGTTTACTTTTGATTTTAAAAAAGTGTGTATTCTTATGATAAGGAAGCTTTGTGATGCAAGACTATAATGTACAATAGGCCTCAAAGAGTTAAAGACAAGAGATTTATTGTGAGAATTGTGTTATTACATATATACATTTACTACTTAGGTCTAATGAACAGTGCAATGAAAGAGAGGAAGAAACAGAGTTCTGTGGTAACAGAGGTTGGGGATATATTACTGGCTCGGGTAAGTACACATGTCATCTGGGAAGATAGCTGTGGTTGGAGATACTGTAGATTCCTTAATTTATGCAAATACTTGCGCAAAGTGACCAACTGACTTCAAATCAGAAGAGTATGAATTCACAAATGAACTGTTGATGGGTAGATTTTACATGTATGGAAGTTTAAGCAATTTAAAAATAAAGCTGAGTTATTTTATTTTGTGAGTTGTGCTTCTTGCGAGATTACATGATAATAAATTCCTTGCATATGATTAAGAAACTGCAGTATATTACTGGCTCAGTTAAGTACACAAGTCGTCTGGGAAGGTCACACTCTTGTTATACTAATGGAAGGTACATGTAACTTGCAAATGTTAAATTACTTATACATGTACAATGCTGCATGTGCTAGATCTTGATAAACCTGTATTTATAGTGTGTACATAAGATTATAGTCATTATAAAAAGCTGTTGGAAATCATTGTTCACGAGTACAATTTCTTTCGAGAGCATAAAAACCTGTTAAGGGAGAACATTTCTTTATTTCAGTTTGATACTGAGGGAGAAGCATTCCGTAATGGCTGTGCCAAATTTTGTCAGAACCAGCAATATGCTTTAGATTTGTTAAGGGCAAAACAGAGAAAAGATTCGAAACTGTCCAACTTCCTTATGGTGAGTGAATGAAAATGTCAGTTTTATTAAAGTAGTTATAATATTTACCAGGTAACATTAATGTATTCTTAATTGGTTGACTTGTAGGAGGCAGAAAGTAGTCCCTTGATGCGCCGGCTTCAGTTACGAGACTTAATTCCTACACAGATGATGCGTCTCACCAAATATCCACTATTAATAGAAAATCTTATGAAATATACTCAAAGTAAGTTTATTATGATGTGTAATTATTAATTTTTTTGTTGATTTCCTTTACTTTTCATTTTGTTTGGAATTTGTAGTTTTGTATGTGGAATTATTGAACAAAAACTGATATAATTTTTCAGCTTCAACTGAGGAGTATTCTCGGCTGGAACGAGCCCTTAAGTTGAGTAAACAAATTCTGGCATATGTCAATCAAGCAGTGAAAGACTGTGAGAACAGTTACAAACTCAAAATGTTACAGCGTAAAATTGACAAGAAACAGCTGGATCATGCTGAATTTAAGGTAAACATGACAATATAATCAGGTCAGACATTGTAGTTTTCATTCAAAGTAATCTCTGAAATCACTTAGTATAATTTTTTTTATTAGTAAATCACTAAATTTTCCTTGTTACAGGAGCTGGATCTCAGTAAACATAAGCTGATGTTGGACGGAGCCTTGACGTGGAACATCAACCAGAGGAAGTCGGTGGACTGCCATGTTGTGTTGTTAGAGGACTTATTAGTGCTATTTCAGAAACAGGATGATAAACTGGTTCTTAAACAACAGTCTACTCAACTGGTGGCCGGTAAAGAAGATAGTCGATATCAGTTTAGTCCTCTCCTCAGATTAGAGAATGTACTCCACACCAACAGCAAAGCCACTGGTAAATGTGATTTTGTCAATCAATCTGTGATGGAATCTGTTAATCTATAAAAGGCTAAGTATCATAACATTTGTGTTGTCAATCCAATATAAATGTTTCAATTTTTCTTGCACTGTGAGGATGTATAAGAATTTTAAAATTTTGTCAGTGGAGATGTATATATATACGGGGGGGGGGGGGGGGGGGGGGGGGCAGAAAAATCTATCTTGGAGTGCATGGTGAAATTTGTACTTCTGATTCATATAAGTAAAATCATCATATGTTAACCTTCAGTCACCCCCAGCAGGGTATATTATGTGATGGTGCACTTCATTACTTAAAACTTTTCTATCAAAAATGAATGGTCAATTTAATATTGTTATCTTACATCTGAAATAATTTTATCTGTAGACAAGAAGGCATTCTTCGTTGTATCAAAAACCCAGATTTATGAACTCTCTGCAACATCAACTGAAGAGCAGAAAAAGTAAGTGTAGCAGAATAACTCTAAAATGAGATTTGACTTAAGTCGTAATTTATAATATAAATGGAAGGTATTGTGAGTGAATCAGTTTTTATATATTTTTGCTGAGAAACCAACAACTAATATATTTTTAGGTGGGAAACTAGCTGCAGATCTGTAGCTCTCTGGTTGAAAAAATTCGGATAGACAAACAGTTGACAACTGATTTACTTTTAGGTGGAAAACTGACAACTGATTTATTTTTAGGTGGATAAGACATATCAAAGAAGCAGCTGAAACTTTCAAAAAGAGGAAAGATAAGGCCCAGGAACCAGCACAGGTGCATGAACTGGCTGTGGAGCCTCCTCAAATCATCAGAAGGTTAGGCCCCTCAAATAGCATATCTGATTTAACATTTAAAAGGGTTTGGTATCTGTGACATATTGCATGGTAATGATAAACATTATGATATAAAATTAAGGGGGAAATTTTCAACTGAAAATAACTGAGAACATATTCTACATGTATAAACCAATTAACAATGAAATAAACAGTAAATATCCACTTGTAAGAGAAGTTGCGAAAGATGCAGATATTTCGCACACTTGATAAAAAGTTAGGTTACAGAAGTTGATTTGGATGTGGCCAGAAATAAGTAAATGTAGTGAATATGTATTTGATTTAACAGGCCCAGTGCAGAGAGACAGGAGGAAGATTTGGAGGAGGAGCTTATTCAGCCTGATGAAATCACTGTACAGAATCCGTTAACTCAGAAAGCTGAGCCAGTCCTGACCCCGCTAGGTATGTCACTTAACATGGATACATTCATGTCTAAGTAAGGAATGCAGTACCCAGACTGATTATCATTACATATTATATCCAGGTGTGCATTTTGTTGGTGGTGTCTATGGTTTGATATGGAAGAGGAAAACAATGAATTTGTTTTACACATGTTTATGATTTTGAATATAAGGACAGCCTAGCCATGAAAAGATTTGATTTCCCACCCTCCAGTGATTTTTTGATAACTAGATCCAGAAGTTTGATGAGCGACTGCAGTGTGTCACCTTATTACTAACACCTGTATGGCAGGCATGAGATGAACTCGGCTGTTCTGTTTTTGTTACCAGTATTTTGCAATTTTGAAAAGCAACCTATAACATTGTGACAATGTCTTTCAATTCATCCATCAAACTTTTTGTACTTCAAAATAAGTTTACATTACTTGTTTGTTTGCTATATTTGGGAATGAGACATCTTCAAATTACAAATTACTGGTATCAAAAATTATTTTAGAGGGATAAAAAAGTCTTGAAAACTGAACACATGTAAACAAGACATCTTCACAATGTTATAGATGAGCTCTCGGTATAGTACTAACACATAACTAGTGTTGTCTCTGACAATAGCCAAGTTAGTGTCTGTGCATGATTTTGAGTGTCATTTTTCTCTCGCCTTCATCCAGAGAAGATCCGACGCCTCGATGAGACACTGCAGGAGCACCTCCAGGAGAAGACAGTTCTGGTGGCCGAGGTCCTCAATATCCCCACAGCCGAGGTCCCACAGAGGCTCCAGGTATTGTGTCCTTTTCCACTCAGAAAGTACTTTACCAAGCAATTCTCACTGACATAATGTAATTTGAGAACAATTGTTATGATGATGAAAATAATCTGAAACCAAATTAAGTTATTTAGGTAGGGTGTTCAATTCTTTAATTATTTTAATTGCATTATTTCAGCAGTGACATTGAGACACTGTTTAACACAGTCTTAAGGTTCAAAAGAAATGTAAATCAAGTGGGATTCTACTCCAGTTAAAATAGCATGAAATTTTGTCCCTTTTGAATTTTTGCATAAGAAATCTCCAATGCTTATAACTGATTTGAAGTTAATTTCACCCAATAAGTGATGGATAAGTGTAATCCATCTCCTGCGATATTAAACTGATGTGACACAATGTTGAGCCTGTGCATTATTTGCATTGTGTTGCCATGTCTTATTGGTTTAACAGACTTTATATAAATGTTTTCTTTTTTAATATATATAAAGAAGATATTTATATACATGTACTTGTAATTCTTTAAGGAATAGGCTACTGCTTATAAAAAATAAGAAAGCATAAAACCCGGAGAAGACTGTTGTATATATATATATGTAGTTGAAATTAGAGGTGTGATTTTTTTTTGTTTCAGATGGTGGAGGAGATGCCAGAGAATGCTAATACCAGTGATAACCTACTCGCCCTAAGTCGAGAGACCCAGAATTGTTTGGTTTTGTTAAACAATGCTGAATGTATGTTCTACTTCCTGTACGCATGTCTGTGTCTGTCTGTCTGTCTGTCTGTCTGTGTGTGTGTGTTGCCTTCTATAGCTTGCTACATCTAAGCATGAAATATAAAGCAAATATTTTTTTGGTATTCAATACAGGGAAAAACAAACATGCAGTATTTTTAAATGAAATTTAATTATAATAAATTCGGATTATTTGTGCAATTTGTAGAGGCAATTACTTTTTTGTTTGTTTAAATTGGGAATTTTTTTTTTTAAAGAAAGTAAATTGATATACTGGTATCTAAAGGTATTTGTTGTATCAGAGAATTTTCATCTAGCATGGACAAGAATAAGTACAATTTTAATTAAATTGCTTCTAGAGAAATATTTTTGTTATGATTTTCTGTCCATCTGTCTAACAGCTTTACCTTCAGTTGTGAGTGTTGCTGCATTGCTTTTAAAGTGGGTGATTATAAAACAACACAAAAGTGATTAATGAAATAAAATTTTAAAAACTTTGAACCCTAATTTCTGTAGATAATTGTTCCATCTGTTAATTGAATTTTAAATTCTGATTAATTCCTGTTTTAGCTGGACTAGCGGAGGAGGACCTAAAAATGCCAATACCAATGGAGAAACTTCGAGAAATGGCCAACAGAATGAACCAAATTCTTACCAATCTACTGGTAAGCTAGTATATTTACTTGCAGCATATTGGAGTGGAGTGTTTTTACAGTAATATTTAGCCAGAGAGTTAAGCTTTAAGCTGATAATTACACTATATACTGCTGTGTTCGTGTTGTACCTCTATATTCTGCTAGAACTGATCTCAGATGTGTCAAAATTGATGTTGTAAATATAGAGGATAGAATCTCTGTTAGGGTTGTATTTGCCACTGAAATATTTCTCAAGAAATCTGTATTAAATGTCTAAACTGTTTTGTGCTGGACATGTTAGCATTATCATGTTATGCACATGAACTTAACAGGAACACAGGGATGTCATTTTTGCTCCAAATGAAATTTTTTCACACTAAAATGAAACCAGAAATGTTTTATACGAGTGGTAAATATATCTCCTCCCACCTTGTTGGCATTTGATCATTGTTACCTTTGTAAACTAGAGGCACTCTTTTTTTACATCACTGTATGACTGTTGTTGCCAGTTTGATAACATTTGCTGTGTTGGGTGACTTTCAGGAAAAAACCAGACAGTATGCAGCGCTTAATTCGGGGCACACCCCCACAACCTCCTCAGTGAGTGATCAATAGTAGTGTGGTTTTTTTTAGTTTTCTTGTGTGGCTTTGTAAGATATATCTCTAGAGTTGCTGCATGGGCTGTTATTTTGACAGTTTTTTTTTTAAACAGAGACTTTATTTAAATGTATTCTTGATATTTTCCTGATTTTGGTTGGCTTAAAGTTTTGAGTTTTTGCTATAAGTTTAGTTAAGTATGATAATTCTTAGGAAAATTAATTGGAAGTTCCTTGGAACAAATATGAATTAAGAACACAAAAATGTTGTTATTAAGTCAACAAATTGTTTTATGTCGCAAAAGACAATTTTTTAATAGCCAGCATGCAGTTTATTTTCCTCGATAAGTAATTGCCACAAATTACAATTAACAAAGGTTTATTTCTTAATCAGACTGTGACTGCAAAGTATGCTGCAATTTTATATGCAGTGAGAGATCAAAAGATGAACTTAGACAAATTTTGAGTTATAGGGATTCCAGATAGCATTAGATCAGGTGATGAATTCCATTTAGAAGATCAAGTATACTGAATGACAAATGTTAGTTCCTTACAACTGTTAAGGAAGAGATTGTTCATAAACTACATGTACCTCTTTCTTTACAGAATTTAAGGAATGTACAAAGCATTTTTTTGTTGCTTTAAGTAATTTTTTTACCTGCCGCCCACATGGAATTCTACTGAAAAGAATATAATATGCACACATTGAAATAAATTCTGAAAGTTTATAAGAGAAAATATGGTTTTTTGAAATTAAAATAAGCCATGTGAGGAGAGTAAAGAATTAAAATCTTACTCTGAATGTTTACATTTCTGAAAACCAGTTCATCTTTTGATCATTGACTATAAGTGATGTGGAAGTACGTGTGTTTGCCTTGTAAGAACCCAATCCTGAATAAGATACCCTCTAAAATCTTTGATGAATTTGTATACTAGTAGAATTAACATAGGCTCAGGAAGTGGTGGAATATTTTTTAACTAATGTGCATTTACATTGTAGATGGAGGTAGTAGCTATGTATATTCACATAAATATATATACATGTACATTATATATGTAGCGATGTATATCATTTCAGCAGAATTTCACATTTGAGCTGTATTTGTATATCCATATAGGGAACACTAACATTAAATAGTTCAGTTTTGTAATGGTGAGGTGTATAACAACAAGCAAGTGGTCCATCCTGTTTTGTTTTACCTTGGACTAAAATGACAGTCTGTCATTGGATAACAGACATCACATGCCTGTCATCAGTATTTCTTTGGATGGCGAGTAGCAAAATTTGGATAAAATGACGTTATGCAATCCAAATTTAATGAGAAAAAATATTTCAAAGTTATTTTTGTTTTTTAAAGAAACCGATAAATTGATTTGGAATTGCGATTAAATTAAGAGTACAGTGCCCCTTTTCAGTGACATAATCAGTAAACAACAAGGTGAAGAATAAAGGAGATTTGTACATACGAAAAAACCCTTTAATTGTAATTGATCTATGAAATTTTGTTAATTGTTATTGGTCCTTGACAAAACAAAACATTAAGTTTGTTTCTGACTTTCCATGGAAATATATTGGGTTGGTCAAGTCCATAGAAGGCTCTGCTTTTCCTCACCTTCTATGGACTTGAACAACAACCCAAGATATTTCTGTGGACAGTCAGTAACAAGCAAGTAATTGTATGCTGCATGCTCTTAAGGCCAAAATTGAGTCTCTTTTGTAAACATGATGAAAAGAAAAAAATAATAGTACAGTATGTGGTCCCACTGTATCTTGTAAAAGTCTAGAATCAATGGTTCAATCATGTTACCACCTTTTTGTTGTTATATCACAGTTGATATAATAGTATCATAATTGATTCAAATTTAATTTGATTTTGATTGGTTGATTGAATTCTATCAGCGTTTAGAGTGGTTGTTTGTATTGTAGGCAGTGGTGAACAGCCGGGATGAAGAACGGGAACGACTTCGGTTGGAACTTAAAGCGGCTCAGGAAGAACTGAACATGCTACGAGAGATACAGAGGCGAGTGTCTGGCTCCAATACTGCAGCCCTCGCCCCAGTCCAGGGCCGACCTCAGAGTTTTATTTCAGATGCTTCGTCTTACTCAGATAATGAGGTTGTAGCCAATACAGAGGATGAGGACATGCCAGGTAGAAAATTCAGAGTTTCCTTCTTAATGTTGTTTACAAAGTTTGCTTATTGTAAAGGACTTACACAGGTCTTCATGTCTGATGTCCAATCCCTTTTATGTGCAGAACCAGGGTTGGCAAAAAACTGGGAAATACTCGTATTTCCCAGGACGGTGGGAAATACTGGTAATTACCGGGAATTACTGGTATTTCCCGGGAAATACTGGGAAATAAGAAATAGGTACATATTTCATTCATATTGGCATGTAGTACACCTTATTGGCTAAGATATCTACCTCTGGTATCACTGTTCCCGATTTAAAAAAATTCTGGTTTCCAAGTAATTCATTTTATATACATGTAATCATACCACAGTATATTCATAAACCACTCATGAGTGCTTGAGTCAGATGTAGTCTACAAAGGTCCATGAAATGAACACAAAGATCCCAACTGGATTTTTATGTAACTAAAGAAGGATCAAAGAAAATTCTTAAATGTAGAGTATGGTATGAATTTCATATCTGAGAAGAAGCCTTTCAGTTCTACTCAAGGTAATTATCTCTCAAAACAGGAGCACAAAACTGTCCAGAGCAATTTGTTAAAACAACATGATTGTTTGTAATAACTACAGTGTTTATAGAAGGATGAAAACAAGTTTATTTTTGTTGTTCTTGGATTTATAATTAATAAACTTAATAATTTTACAAAACTGAAAAGAAACTTGAATTGAAAAACTTCAGTTTTTGTACAGCCAGGGAAATGTTCCAGAATGCTTTTGGGTATGGGACCTGGAGTAGGTGATACATTCTGAATATGTTATATTAATAGCAATTTGAGACATATTCCATATTATTCATCTTCTTTTTTTATGTTTATTTTATTTTAAATTTTGTATAAGATTGAATGAATTAGAGAAATAAAAAACTCTAATAACTTAGTATTTCCCAGTATTTCCCAATATTTCCCAGTTTAGAGAAAATTTGTAGTATTTCCCAGGATGGGAAATACCGGTATTTACCACTGGTAATTCCCACCACTGGTATTTCCCGGCCAACCCTGTGCAGAACTGAAATTTAAATATAAGTTTAGCAATATAAATTGATCACCTTTTGTCTTTGTAACACTGTAACCTGTTGCTTTAAGTATAATACAGTTAGCAGCTATTTCATCATATTTCATTGTATTTTCATCATCCCAAAAGTGGAATTTGTCTTTTTTTTTTCTTTTTTTTTTGAGATAAGTAGAAAAGTCAGTGTTAGAATCTTAATTTGAATCACAGGTTTTTGGTCAGATCTTGATCTTTGAACTTTTGAATTACTGAATCAGATCATAGGGTTTGAACCATTGAATTACTGATGTTCAGTCAAATCCTTATGTTTGAACTTTCCATATACAGATATTCCATTAGATCCTGATGTTTGAACGATTGAACTACTGATAATCTCTCAGATCATTATGTTTGAACTTTTGAATTACAGATGTTCACTCAGACCATAATGAAGTAGATGTGGATACAGGGGATGTACCTGATGATCTTGATGTGGATCCAGAGACTGCTGAATCTGAGGTCTCCCATCCCACCAACCTGCCAAAGGAAATCACAGACATTGACGTGCAGTCTCTGACAGAGATTGAGCCTCCATTGGAGGAGTTTATGGAAGAACCAGAACCTCTTAGTGTGCCTGAGGACATTCTCACGGGAGGTGAGGATACAGAGAAGGTTACGGCAGAAAGTGGTGTCCAGAAAGCCGAGATCAATCTGATAGAGGAGTTCAGTGAGGAGGTAACTGAATTCCCGTCCAATCAGAAGGACGTCGTTCATTCCGAGGAGAGTGAGGAAACCGAGTGCAAGGACACAACAAAGGAGGAGCAAAGTGCTGCTGATGTTCCTCCTACAGAAAATTCATGTGAGGACCCAGGAGGGCTTTCAGAAGAAATTAAGACAAGTGTCGATGAGGAAAGACGATTCAGTAATGATGATTATGAAGACGCATTGGAAACACAATCAGAAATCAGGGAGAGCAGTGAGGAGAGGACTAATGAGAAATTACAGGAAGAAATAACGGACCAAGAGAAAACAGACGTCGGAAAAGAGGGGGCTGAATCCGACCCAGAAACTGCTGACAAAGAAACAAATGGTGTGTCCGAGAACAGTGAAAAAAGCCAAATCATCGAGGACAAACTGAGTGAAAAATCAGAAGAGAAAATTCTGGACAATGAAGACAATGAAAATAATTTAGAATCTACAAATACAACAGACAATAGGGAAGATAGTGGTTCTCCTGTATAGCCTTAATCTACTTCTGTCTCACTCTGTGATAAAGTGCTACATTCTAACATGGATGTGAATTAGACTCCTTCTCAGTTATGTCCCTTGTTAGGAGGGAGACCGCTGTGAACTCATTCCTCTGTACAGTCTGTATTAGACGGAGAAGATATTGTATTGGAAACTAGTTTATATAAGGAATTAACAAGATACAAGAGATTGATGCCTGTAGTAACGAGTATATTATATATAAATATATATAAATATATGTACTTTTTTGTTAGAAGGAAGATGTCACATATTTATTTATGTTATGGTTGTCTCTAACGTTACTAAATATAGGATAAATGTTTACAGTTTGTACATGTGCTATGCCCTCATAGTCAAAACCCCAATAAGTTATGTCAGTGTCTACATTTGTTACATATGCAAATGTCAAAAGCTAGCCTTCATGAATATTCTGGAAGCTCATTACCTCATTTTTCACTTTCATTTCATGGCTGTGAACATTTATTTTAGGCATCGGTTTATATCATTATTCATTCTGTAAAGGCCCAAGTTTGAAACTTGGTGCAAATTCTAGGGTGCAATACATTTATTTTAGTTCTATTTCAAAGCTTTTTATATAATGTATGGATGACTACCTATGGTTTTTTTTTTGTGCTTGAATGAAAGAGTGCTCAAGACTGGCATATCAGGTCTTATTTTGTATCAGTGAACATTTTTCATACCTGTGCCACAGAATCCTTGGTAAAACTGCCTAGAAAATCAAACTGAAAAAAAAAATCACTGCTGTTAAAATAATGATCTGTATCAGAAGTTTATGTAACAAGTCAGTTTTTCACAAAAGCTGAACTGCATTTTTCAGCTGCTAATTTCATACTGTTCATTTGATACAAAATCTGAGTGCCATGCTAAAGCTTTAGCTCGTTTCACTTCGGTCATGTGACTTCTTGGATATCTGGTAAGTCACATGATATCAACTGTATTTAATGCAATCATTAAAATGCACAGATAATTACTGTAAACTTTGGGGTCAAGCATAAGCCAAGATTTATGTTGAGAAATTTATAATAATGACTCCAGAAATAATAAAATCTTAAAAACCGTTCAATGTCATTTCTGGACTGGTGGTGTCATAACAAGCTATTATGGTTACATGGTGGTTCTGTGTAATGCTTAAGACCGATCATACAGAATATTGTCACAGACCTGCCTACCTTTTCGCTTTTGGCATATTTCTTTATGCCATATCAACCAATTTTACACTTTTAATGTCCTGCTTAAAATTGTGTTATATTAGTGGTTTTAAATGTCTGACTTGCATTTGAGTTGAAGAATGGCCTATTAATATGCATAGACAAGAGCTTTTTAAAACGCATAATTTATCAAGGGGGCTACAGTTCCTCAAGAGCTCAATCCTGAAAATTTATTGAAACTAAGACAGCTTTCAAACTTAAACATGCTGCACATGCCAAAAATTTGGAAGAAAAAGCAGAAGCAAATACATCATTTACTTAAGTGATTGGAAAGGTGTGTGCCATTAATACCACCGAAAGATTAATTAAGTTCAAGCTCTTGACCAAATACATCATAAAGAGTGGAGTTATGTTCCCAACTTATTTGATACTCAAGAGCATGCTCAGAGTACGATCAGCTTTTATACTGAAGCAGGCTACTGACTTGATACTGACCCTATAAATTGATATTACAGGGATTTCAAACAACCTTGTTTAAAGTTCTGTTAATTCTATGGTTGTTATATGACTTTGTTAGCAAATATAAGTTAAATGTATCATTGGGTCAAACATATTTCTGACTAATTGTTTGGCCTTTGTTTTTATATAATTTAACTACGGAATATTATGTCTATCTGATCAGATCAGTACATAGGGCTTGAGCCGGATGTGATCAGTCGACAGGGGGTTCTTACTCCTCCTCGGTAGCTGATCCCACCTCTGGAATTTCCTGGGGTCCGTGTTTTATGGTTTTATGCACTGTTCGTTATTTAAGACCTGTAGGAATGCTACCATGCTGATGTTCAACGATCATAGACGATCTAAGCTAATAAATGATTGTAAAATATTTTTAAGTCCTTAATTATATGAAATACAACACAGAGTCTGATTTAGATTATACAGAATCACAATGACACATCAAAATAGAAGAGTACAAAGAATTATGCCTATTACTTGAAATTGAAGGTTAAGATTTCACCTCTGCAATAAAAAGGGTAGACGGGGCAATTCAGTGATTGGAAAAATGTAGATCATTGGTTCTGTACCTCAACCTAAAACACCACAAATACGGCGGTTCTGTACTCAAACAAAACCACTACAAATACGGCGGTTCTGTACCTCAGACTAAAACACTACAAATACGGCGGTTCTGTACCTCAGACTAAAACCACTACAAATACGGCGGTTCTGTACCTCAGACTAAAACACTACAAATACGGCGGTTCTGTACCTCAGACTAAAACCACTACAAATGCGGCGGTTCTGTACCTCAGAATAAAACACTACAAATACCGTGGCAGGGGTGTGCAATTAGCATCGCCCGACGCCCGGGGCTACCATTGTTTGGGGTCGGGCTAGTAGTTTTGTGCACGGAGGTAGCCCCTTGGGCTAGTAAAAATTAAAACTACCAATGTAATACATGAAAATCACTATCGGTATTTTCACTCATTTTTTGCTATTAAATTCTCAAGCAATGAAAAATTTTCGGCAGCATGCTCCAATTGTTCGTAAATCTCCATAATCTTACCCATTTTGCAGTACTACCTGAATTATGTACTTCCAAAAACGATCGTTTTTATCTAATCCGAATTTCCTCTATTCCTCTGTTTATGGTAAATACACCTGCAGATATCTCATTAAATTATTTACAATCACTCAATCAACTAAAAATAAGTTTTATGTGGTTTACATAAAAATATATTTCCAGCGTATTTAATGATTTAAGATGAAAAAATGATTGTCATTTCAGTTTAGATAAGATAATTTATTTGAATTTATTTTTACTTTCTATCATAATTATCAGTTTATATATGATTCAATTTTACTTCTGAAAATTAAAAAGAATCAAATTTATTTTAAACCCTGACTATTTCAACAATAAACTATTTCCTTGTAATATTAGTTGTTACCCCCCCCCCCCCCACACACACACATTTGGGCTAGTAACTTTTTACTTGGGGCTAGTAACTTTATTGCTTCCACTAGCCCGTGGGCTAGTACTTAATTTTTTTAATTGCACACCCCTGCGTGGTTCTAGATCTGTACCTCAGATAAATCCACTACAAATACGATGCATCTGTTTCTCAGACAAAACCACTACAAATACGGCGGTTCCAGATCTGTACCTCAGACAAAACCACTACAGATACCATGTTTTTTTTTTTTTGTATTAGAATGATGTCATTGGTGTAGCATTGTCATTGAACCACTTGTACATAGTGAGTGGCTTTATGTTTCGTACTTCATTCGAACTGCTAGAAAGTTATTTAGACAATGGGTGGTTCTGTACGGAAGTTAATTCTTGTTCACAGAAGATTTTATGCTTTTTTTTCTCCCTAGTTTGAATGTTTCTTGCCTACTGCAGAACAAATAAAAGAAAATTCCCTAACCTTTTGTATGGCACATGCCATTCATGTACACTACAATTATAGAGACCCAGGTTTTTAGCTCACCTGAGGGAAAGACTCAAATGAGCTTTTCTGATCGAAGCATGTGTCTGTTTGGCATGTGTCGTTTGTAAACTTTATACATTCTCAACTTCTTAAATACCTCTTGGCCACTTTCATATATATATATATATATATATATATATATATATATATATATATATATATATATATATATATATATATATATATATATATATATATATGAGTAAAATATGAAATATTCTTGAGTTTGGAAAGAATAATTGGCCAGAAACTGATTTTTTTAAATGACATTTCGAATTCAAATGATCAATGTGTCTGGGATTTATTTTCAAGACTTTCTTAGATATTATCAAGTATGTACATGTATGTGTTCACCAAAACACACTAGTGGATGGTTGATTCTTTTAATACACCAAATGTTTTCCTCCTAACGCATCTGAATCTTTAGATCCACAACAACTGCTCAAAGAACATCATTAAGGATCAATAAGGGGTTTAACGTACGAACTTTACTGGAATTTTATTTTTACACAAAGGGTTATATTATTTTTACCCTAAGAGTGGCATACTAATTAAGGGTGGCATACTAACCCTAAATTAATGTAAAAGAGTGAACATTAAGGGCCGTTTAATACTGTGTTAGGGTCAAGCGAATTTTGAACGTGTAGAGAAAATATGTCTATTTGTTTAATTGTATGGTGACCTAAATAGAATTAAAAAAACTCAGTTAAGATCAAAACATATATTATAAGGGCATATCTACTGTTAGGATATTTCTTTTGCGAGGAAAATCTTTCCTATGTGGCATAGCACGCAATCGAAACTTCCGGGCCTTTCCGACAAGCGGAGAAACAACCTCTCACGGAAAGGCCCGAAATGATGCGATTGGCATAGCATGTGTATTTTATACCAAATGAATGACTTTCTGTGTTTTTACTTGAAAGAGTTCCCCGACGCTCTGAATTCACCAAAGAAAATTAAAACATTTTGTCGTAACATAAGACTCGGTTGTTACGTGTTTTTCATCAGTCTGTCTGTATCGTCTGGTTGACTTACATAAAGCACACGTCCCAATGGCTATCAGTGTTACGACACCCAGGGGATATCATTAGAATTTTACGAGCCATTGCCTTTCATATCACCCACTAATGAACACTTCATTCTCAAGCGAAAGTAAACAGAAGTCCAAACAAACTAAAAATATTTATTAAATATATATCTGGTATTATGTACAGATAGAAATAAGACGGTACGGGAGACAGTCTGATATCACTTGCGTAGATTGTGCACAAGGCATGGACGGCATTACACTGATGCTGGGAGAAGTCACATACATGCATGTTAAAAACATTGTTAAAAGACGAGTTCTCATTGCTCAGTAACCTTGGTGATGTGAGAAGGATCCTGGCTACGGTGCCCGTGAAAAAGGTGTGTCACTTCCGGATACTCGGTAACCTAGCTTGGTGAAGTGACAGGGATCCTGGCAACGGTACCCGGGAGTAAGGTGCGTCACTTCCGGTTACTCAGTAACCTTGGTGATGTGAGAGGGATCCAGGCCATGGTACCTTTGAGTAAGCTGAAGATACTTCACTTCCGGTTACATTTTAATCTTGGTGATGTGTTAGTGGTGCTGACCACGGTACCCATGAGTAAGGTGCGTCACTTTCGGTTTCTCAGTAACCTTGGTGATGTGAGAGGGATCCTGGCCACGATACCCTTGAATATGGTGAAGGTGCGTCACTTCCGGAGGACATATCCTCTCCAAATAAAGGTTTAGGTAGATTGCTGGTACCTCTACTTTGGAAAAATCGTGAATGGAAGGGAGACATTATAGCATGAGAAAAATGGACAGTGTTCGCTAAAACGTTGTTTGGTTGTAGTGGTGACAACAGGGAATGTCCAAATGGTGGGGGAACTAGTTTAGGGGAATATGGAGAGGAATGGAGGAACTCCGGACTTGGGTACGGTGAATGTCCTTCACTACTGGCAGACTTGCTCGCACGATATGGGGAAAAAGACATCTTCTTCGGTGTTGCTTCGGTCAGTCTTGAGATGCTGAAATCTGTGATCCTTTTTTTCTTTGGTCCGTTTTCCGTGTCCTCTGGTTTGACCTTCAGGCATTGTGAGCAGACTCGCTTTGGAGAACTCTGACTGGGTACAAACGACTTTCCACATTTGATACAATTATCTTGTACAGATGAGGCTGTGAACAGATTAGAATATAAATTTATTGAACATATGTACCAATCAGAGCTTTCTATGATTATTTGAATTTAATACAGATAACAAGCAAAGGCAAAACTTAAGGTTAATGTTACGTCAAATAAATTACCTTCGTGCGTTTTCATGTGAGTTTTCAGATTGCACTGAAGGGCGAATTTCTTTCCGCAGAGAATGCATTCATGTGGCTTATCTCCTACAATGAAGAGTTAATGGATTAAAGGAAATCTTGGAGTAAAGTATGAAAAATGTCAAAGATATTTAGACTATGTCCTATTTCGTCACTGACCGAAACAGTGGTGAACATTAGAGGGATTCTAACGACCATAAGAAATCGGAAATATATGGAGCTGTAGAGGAGATGAGATAAGGCGATCCTAGCAGACTGAATCCTTATGATAAACTCACCGGAATGAAGCAACACGTGGTTTTTCAGGTTGGTTTGCTTGCTGAATCCCCGGTGACAGATTTCGCACTTGAAGGGCCAGGAGCCATTATGGACGTACATGTGACTTCTAAGGTCTCCGGGCGTGGGAAAGGATTTGGAGCACAGGGTGCACTTATGGGGCTTTTCCTGACCAAAGAAAATTATGATAATTGATCTTTCTTTTTTCCCAAGTTGCCTTTAATGTCAAAATTTAAGCTTCATGATATTGTTTTAAAATATCTAACTTGTTTTTGTTTTGTTACCTTATCGTGTGTCATTCTATGGTAGTAGAGGTTTGAAGACGCAGTAAACCGCTTCCCACACACTTTACACACATGGGGTTTTTCTCCACTGTGGATGCGTCTGTGTGTGTTCAGGGAGGAGGATGTGGAGAATGCTTTTCCACACACGTCGCAGGCATGGGGTTTCTCACCTACAATATTTTCAAGGTCATTTTCAATTTAAATTTCACCAATCAAATTAACAGATAATGAACATTATATTTTTGAGCAACGAGGGTTACGGATAAAAAGTATAGTGGGAAAATCTTTACCCGTATGTGTCCGCATGTGTCGTTTCAGAAGCGATGGACGGTCAAATTTCTTTCCACATATATCACAAGGCAGCCATGTTCTTTCTCTGTTTCTTCTGACTGGTCTGTCTACAGGGACTATCTGTTCTGGGCTGCTGTTGGTTACGTCTGATTCGGAACATTCCAATTTTATCTGTTTTAATATAGATCAGGTTTAGAAAACGAATCTGCTGAGTAAACATCATGCAATTGTTTATGGGATATTATCTTTACTTACACTTGAATGGTCGTCACTTCCGCTAAAGATTGACGGACAGTCGTCTGCTCTCGCAATAGGCGAAGTGAGAAGGGAGGCTGAAAGCGTTGGCGACGTAAAGAACAGCTTCTCGCTTCTTGCTGTAAAAGGTAAAGAAATGGCGATTATATCTAGGGAATTATTGATAAAAAGCATTCCACCACAACTTCATGAAATTTAGTTGAAAAGCAATTCTTCAAAAAAACTAACTTGATTCTGAAGAACTGTTCAGTTCTAACTTTGATGTGTCCCTACTTAGGTCTAAATGTTCTTTTGCTCCCAAAGTCTCGACAGTTTCCGTGACATCATCAGGACCTATGTCGACAACATCAATTTCTTCCTCGTCTTCGGACAACATTGACTGCTCGGCACTGTCGACAGATTTCTGTATGATGTTTTCTTTTGTTTGTAGGGTTGTTTCAAAGTATACAATGATTTCATCATTAGGTTTTATTGTGCGTAATGTCTGGTACGTTGCTTTTCCATCTTTGTTTGAGGCAAACACGTTGGAAAGTTCTAGTTCATCTGAAGATTTACAAAATCGAACCCAGTTGCATTGGCGGACTTCCTTTCCATCGACGATTAGAATGTCGTCTTGACAACCAAATTTATGTCGAACCTGAAATTCATTATTCAAGACTCTATTTTTCTGAAATATGGTAATGATGGAAGAAACAGTAAAGAAAAAAAGACTCCATTCTTAAGAATCGGAAAGCCTTTAAAGTAATGCATTCTTCGATGCTATTTCACAGACAATATGGCATGACATTACTGTGATTTGTGTATACCGTACATTCTCTTGTTTTTCAGAATACATAATACACGTCTTCTTACAATTTCACTTGAGGAATTTCAAAACGATGGACATTTGAGAGTAATGAAACAGGAGAGATATTCAAAAGGTCATTAGCGTGCGATGTTCTGACCATAGCATAGAATAATAAATGCAGGAAATCCTTTGTCGTGCAATGAATGGTTTATCAACCTGTTAACTTTAAATCAAATTCAATTTCACGTTTCCTGAACAGAAATATTCAAATTTAAACATTGTATTACACGTATTTAGAGTCGGTTTGAAGACTCCGACCTCTTGATTAGACAGTACATTATACGCTCGGGTTCAGAAGTCGGGGCCCCGCCACGCGAATCAATTAGTATAAAGTGTTTAGGGGGTGATCCCCTATTATTATGTGATAATAGTGAGAGTGAATGGCGAGTCCCCCCAGTAACAGATGTCCCTGTTAACCTTCTGTCATCCCAGACACGTGCAGCACGGCGGAGATGGCCCTCCTCTTACGCAATGCACACGAGCAGCATCCTGACCGTCCGCTTGATACCACACCGAAACATTCTTAAAGTCCTTCCATTTACCACTTTTTACGTTTTTATATATATTTTATTTTATTTATTTTTTCCTTTTTTTCCGAATGACATATATACAATAGAGTTGTGACTCCCGATGAAAGCTATTTTAAGATTATGAATTATTGATTTCAAAATTAAATATGCTTTTGATTTTTTTTAATGAGAAAAAGCTTTACTGATTTCGTGGGCTTACCTTCTCTCATTCACTTTCTTAACGACAGCTTTTCAAGAATTTGACTTTGTTATTGACTTAGTTATTAGCAGGTCTCTAGGCGACGAGATTATATTGTATAAAAACATATTTGTTAATATTTACTTTATATATTTTATTTGGGATTGGAGTGTCTGTGGAAAAAAAAAGGCAATATAATATAAAATCATAAAACCATCTACCACATCTCTCACAGATGGACATTTCTTACGTCATTCAAGTACTGAAGGTCCCCAATCACATTAAATTTTATTTTTGAGACCACCATATGACCATTTGAGGAGCCAGTCCTCAGCCTTTTGAATTTCTCTTTGAAATGTAACTCCAAGGGGTGAATTATCAGTCAGCCATGATGCTTCACCCCAGGTTACTAATGGTTACATCATCTGTCCAATTAAAGTAGCCATCCACTCTTCGCGAGCTCTTCTGTAAAAGATTTTCACCAATGGTCGAGCTATTTGATTAAATTGTAATGATTCGTTATTACCAAATTAAGAGGACAATATCACCCTATCTGGAATGGAAATAATAGATTTTACACTTGAAGTTGAGTGAGCAATTATGTTAAAAGTTGAGCGCGGCTTATTGGATTTTCTGGAAACAATAAAGAAGCATAGATGCTTTCGTTTTGCCCCCAGTCGGCGGTTCCTTCGATTCTATTATAAATTACTCTCGATGATCGTTTACAGTATCATGATGGAACACAAAATAAAAGTTACACCAATTTCCAATATCGATATATACTAAAGCTCTTTTATGAACGTTTCATAATCGCAGACGTTATTGAAATTGAGCACAGTTATAGGGAAATGAATTATTTAAGTGGTCTACGTTAATGCATCGATAGTTTCATTTTTTAAGTGAAGTTACGCTTGATAATAAAATTAAACATTTGTACTTTAATACTTGAAGGAAACACATTTGTTTTAATAATTATCTTGGATTTGAGTTGACACGATCCAGATTTTCCAAAATGACTTGTCGGAGTTGGCGTATAGAAAAAGTTCCAAATTTCACACCCTCATTTATAAGGGTCTCCCGAGATTTATAGAGAGGCTGGTTTACAACTGTTAAGACTCCCTTCACTGACAGCTGGCCCGTTTATCGCTCATCATCGCTAGGTCCTCTTTCTGTTAACCTGTTTACATATGTAATTTACTTGGAGGAGGCCGGATCACCGTTCGGATTGTTATCTCCCCTTATCTGATTAACAATATCGCCTTCCTTGTTGCAATGTTCGCAGCTAATCTCTATTTGTCAACATTTTATTAATCATTATCTTATTGCTCCACGTGGCCGAGGAAATGCGAATAATTATGGACCTTTTCCTTATTTTCTTGGGTATAAATGTCATCTTTAATTTATAATTTTGTTTTTAAAAAAAACTATTTCAAAATTCATGAAATTATAAGAAACTTTCGTTACTTTATGGTCGTTGTTTTCCTCAACAATTTTTCCCCTTCTCTTCTTTGGTTGACAAACGAAATTTAGCATGATATCTCGTTAAATGTGTTACATATTTTGGTATTGTACATATTCTGTTTTGCCGTGTTTATCAATTGTCCTAAATTAAAGAAATTGCGAACAACAATCAAGTTAAAAATCTTGGATCAAACGTGCCCAGTAGGTCATTTATCGATACCAGGCCACAACTGACAATGCCTCGATTGTGCTTCAGTACTAATGAAAAACACTTTTATTTGTAGAAAATACCACCCTACAGTAAGGACAAACACTTGCTTCTTTCATATCACACGATGTACAGTCAAATTCACGGGCCCCATAGCGCGCTCCCCGCCACTAGTTTCCCGCGCCCGTCATTGGTCGGTTATGCAGCGCCGGGGAGTCGTGTTTAGAATATGTTAAGTGTATATCTAATTAGCGTAATTATACAATTCGTTTACAACCTAACTGTTAACAGGTAGTTCCGTTACACGATTTTCCTTTGAACAAGATAGGGGATATTTTAACTTTATTCCCCGGAGAGAGAGAGAGAGGCAGTGCGGGAAATGTATAGAATTCCTTTCCCGTACGTGGAATAAATAAATAATTTATTTGGTGCACAAAACACTTCATTGACAAAATTAGCAGTGGAACTCTACATTTGTAAATGACAAAAGTTTATCTAACTAAATAAATAAATATTACAATAAAGTAAATAGAGCATGTATTGTCACTGTGGCTAATACGACGTGCCTCTCAATAATTGAAATTTCACTTCGATCAAAGAAACGTCTTCCCCTTTTGACCATTGTCTGGAGTACTATTGTTGATCTTCCCAGGAAAATCAAAGGAAGCGCTTCACAAATACCCAGAAAAGGGACCCAAATAGAAAGGTGATAAAATAGACACCCGCCAAACGACAGCCAAACACAGAGAAAATATAGCCATTTATTTCTAATGTAACGCAAACCTTCCTCAAATATACCGGTAAAGAGTGATAGAGGACCATTGACATACACATTCAAATGAATATGATTTTTTACATATTGCAAGTTTTGTTTTTCAGAATTTAATTCATTTTTAACGGCATGTTTAAAAAAACTGCTGAATTTATGTTTAATTAATGATGTTTTCGCCTTCATGCTCCAAACACAAATTTCTAAACTTTACAAGCTCAGCCTCAGTTTTCGCACAGTTAACAAGTCTGGTAGAACAATATAGCAACAAAAGCGATAAAAACAGATTTATGTCAACGACTTCAACTTCCGTCTAAAAGACAATATTTGTTAAGGAACACTTGAACCTGCTTCCCTGGTGCGGGGTCAGGTGTGGGATTCAGACACAGATTAGGGGGATCGAGCGCGGGATTTAGCGGTCCCCCAGTCTGGATTACGTCACACACTTAGCAGAGGCGCAAAGGATTTGTGTCAGTTCTAGGGTCCACACTCGGGACCTGTTAGGGCCGTCACTATTTATCTCATCTATGGGTAGGGGTCAGGAATTACACAATAAAGTGTTCAGTTTGTTTATCCCTTAATCATGCGACATATATATTGTACTAATATATACTTAACTGATAAAATCTTTTGGAAGACTTCTACATCTAAAATTATTTTCCTTTTTTTCCAAAATGGGAATAAAATACGTGTAGATCTAACATTGCTTTCATTTTTAAAAACTTAAAACATTCACTTTTTTCCTTTTCTAAAAAATGTTGTATTTACAACTACTCTATATGCATTTAAAATTATATTATAATATTCAAATTAAGGGGAAAAATCTTTTTATCATATGTTTGCTAGTTTGAAAATGTTCATGTTATATCAGCTCTTTATGACAAAAGGAAGACCATCTCCGCCCGTTTGTTCATCTC